CCATTCCAGGAGATCGGTGGTGCGTGTAGATCTGGAAAACATTGGCCGCCTGTGACGCGGTTCAATGGCTGTGGAAACCACAAGCATCCCCCACTCCCCTCCTCTCTTCCACTCCCCTCCTCCCCCTCTCCTCAATTATCCTCCTCCTCCTCCAACTCCGCCTCCCCCTCCTCCTGCTCACCCTCCTGATTCAGATCCCCCTCCGTTTCCTGCCCCCTCCTCCCCCTCCCCCTCGCCCTCAGCTTCCTACCCTTCTTCCTTTGCCTCGCTCCAAAGTAAGGGGTACTAGATCGCCCCCCACTGTAAGTTTTTCCTTGTCGTTGATTCGACGTGGCACAGGGTGTGGGCCTGCCCCCATGGGGCAGCTGTCGGACCCGAACTGGCGCAGGACCTCCTTGAGGAGGCAATCGCAGCAGGAGAACTGGACCCGCCGTTCAACTCCTCGGGGGGGCCTGAGCCAGAGGTGGAGCTGGAGGCCCCGACTGAAGACTTTGCAAAGTGTTTCGGCCAGGACGGGGCTTTCGACCCGTTCCTTTTCGAACGCGATGCCGAGATTATTTCTGATGGCGCGGTCCTTGACCCCGAGGCAGATATTGGGACGCGCGGGCGGCTGGGCACGACGAAGGACATTTTATCAGAGGTATGCTGGGGTTCATGTCCAGGGGCTTCCTCAAACAGCAGTGCTTGCGAAGCATCGTGAGCTCATGCGCGCGCCGTGGAGCACTAGGGCCAGACCCCCCACAAACTTACACTGGAAAAGCTGCCTAGTCGGGCCACTGGCGTACGATCAAGGCGGTGACCCCGTGTACTTGGGACATCCATACGTAAAAACTCATAGGGCTCTCTCTCTCTCTCTCTCTCTCTCTCTCTCCTGGATTCCGAGAACCCTTGGGTAATCCCAGTGCTGGATGAGCCCGTTGACGCCGGCATCGAGATACTTTCTCTGGAGGCCCTGCGCGGAAATCCTTTTTCACCAGCTCTGGCGGAAAGTCGACCGCGCACGCAGGGGCGCCCGTCGCGGACATAAGCTGCGCCTGGCTGACAAAGTGCAGCCCGCGACCGCCCCCCACAACAGTGCCTCAATAATCGGGCGAATGCCTCTTCGCCGCCAACCTGGGCTCGGCGGGGTCTCGGTCAGCATATCGAGGCACGCGTGAAAAGCCTTGGTGAGAGTGCCAGCGCGCAGATCGTCTGAGGCGCGCAGGCGCGAGTCCATGGCCTCCCACCGCTCGTGAGCGCATCTGAGGCTCGTGCCCCCACCGTGGCAGAGCGGGCCCTTGGGGGTCTCGGTGGCCCAGATGAAATCGATGGAAACCCCTGAACGGCGCGCCCCCAACGCAGCAACTCCCAAAGCGCGTGGACGATGGACCTAATTACGGCTCAGACCAACCACGTCGCTGCCATGAGTGACGCCAGGCTTTCGGCCCACGAAGAACAGCGTTTTTGCGTGTTGGTGTTGTTATTGTCTTTCTTTGGTTTCCAACGCCTTGCCCCTGAGGCCCTGAGGTTCCTGACTTTGGCCATCCTTCCGATGGTTGCGGACCATCGGCTTTCCCTCTTGGCCAAGATCGAGGGCGGGTTGGAGGCCTTCCTGGGCGCTCTGCCATTGTGGGTCTCGTCGGGCACCGCGGACCACTTGGAACCCGTCGAGAAACCCCCCCCCTGGTTGACCGCCCCCCCCGTGAGAGCGCGCGCGCGCGCTGGCCGAAACGCCCCTGGGCGCCACCCGCGACCCCGCCCGAATTGGGCGCGAGACAGCCTCTTCCGCAAGGTCGGGAGAGACAGGCGATCGGCACGCGCGCTGCGTAGCTAGGTCGTCATCCTGGCAATGCAACTCAAACAACCTGAAGCCTCGCGGGGAGAGCCGTCCAACCCGAGGTCGTCGACTTGGTTCGAGAAACTCGCGTTAGCCAATTGTGCAATGGCTTACTCCATTGGGCCAGATGCATCTTGATTTCGAACGCGGCTGTGCCGCTGCCTGCGACTATCCGCCGATCTCGGTAGAGCCAAGGAGAGCAGGCGCGATCCACCATCAGAGGTCAGGGCCAGCGTTCACCTAGAATTGCCGCGCGCAGGGCGCGCAGGGGAAAATCGCGCAGCTTGCGTCCTTCCCAGAGGCCCACACGTCGCACGTTTTCGTAGAACTGGAGCGTGTTTGCTGGCAAGACACTTACCTTATCTCCACCCTCATCTGCCAACGCGCTCCGCGCCGCTTGCCTCCGCGCCCCCCCCATGGCGCCGCGTCGAACGCTCCTCCGCCCCCCAGCTTGGCCCCCGCGCCTCGCAGTGACCTGCTGGAACTTTCGGGGACAGTCTGGGTCGGCTCTGGAAGGAGCCGACGGGGCGACGCCCGCGCTCTGGCTCCAGAAACAATTGCACCAGCAAGCGCCTGAGTGAAAATGGCGCATGCCCCACCGCAGCCTGCAGCAAGGACAAATGTGACATCGTCGTGAGCGCCTCGTCGGGCAACCGCGGGTCGCGTCGAGGGTGGAAGCCGTTGATAGCGGTCGCGTTCGACCTGTGACCCTTCGACATCTGTCTCAGCGCATCTGCGCCAAGGGCTTCGAGGATGACGCAATCGGGGGGGGGGGGGGGGGGCTGCGGCGGTTCCTTCGGGCGCGGGCCCGCCACCCAGCGCTCCACGAGCGCCGCTGGGCCTCGAACCTTGCCCCGAAACTGCACGCGGAACCTCCCCTCCTTCAAAGCGACGACACTCTCCTTTCAATCGGCGGCCACTTCGGCATATTCGCGGGCCCAGCGCCCCCGCCCCCTCCGAGGGCCCCGAGCACCAGTCAGGCAGCTGTTTATTCCGAGCCGTCGAACGCCTGCCGTTCAATTCTGGCCGCCGCATCTTGCCCGGCAGACAGCTCAAGATCGGCGCCGGGCCAAGGTCAGGGTGGGCAACTAGAGAACCCCTCGCCCAGGCACTGCGCGATCGGCTTCCAAAGCTGCCTGCCCCCCCTGGCCAAAAATGTCTGAAAAGGGGGCCTCCGACCCTGCGCTGCCTCAGTGACCGGCTTTATGAAATGCGATGGGGCCGCGGGGCTGCCGCGCTTCCCGGCCAGGCCCAGGCGTTCCTGCAGGCACCTGGCAACCCAGTCAACAGCGCGAGACGCGGACAGAAACGGGCTGCTCTCGGCGATCAGCAGCTCTGCCAACGGCGCAGATTCGCATGCGCGCGGGAGCCATCCATGGAGGCGGCGCACGTCTCCCGAGTCAACTTGGTAAATGTTTTCAAGCCCCCCCCCCCCCCGAAAGCGAATCCCTGGTATACTCGATCAAGAATTTGCGGGGGCCCCTCAAGACGAGCGCCAGGCACTGGTTGGAGGCCCCCCTCGTCCAACATGAAATCCTCCACGGGCCGTGCAGGAGCGGCCTGGGCATCGCCAAAACTGCCCGGGGAAAGGGGGGCGCGAGTCGCGCGCGAGGTGGGTTCTGGATTTCTCAAAACTTGTCAAACTATATGAATCCCGTGTCCTCGGTAAGACCTAAGAGCACAGGTCGGCGCGGCGGCGCCGCGGTTTCCAGATCTCTCGCGAAGATCGGTGTTCCGAAGCTGAGCGAGTGAATGCGCGCGACATAATTTAAAGTAGAGGAGTGATCATGCTGCATCGACATGCAACCAGCTGGCTGGGCGATCCGCACCCAAAATCATCCAGGTGGCAGGCCGCTAAGCATTGCCGCAGTCTCTAGGTGGGGATGTCCTCCCGCGACGAAGGGGCCCCCGATCCCTGGAGCATTCTCGCCCAGCGCCATCCCTAACAACGCCCTTTCTGGCCCCGGCCCAGATCCCGAATGCAACCATTAGGGCCGAGACCTTACAAAACACACGCGCACACACAAAAAGAACACGCGCTGAAGGATTCGCCCAGGGGAGATAGCTCCTAGGGCGCAGGGGGGCCCACCCACAAATCCACATGTTCCCTGCAAGCAATGGCCACACCAGCGTTCCGGAACCCTTTCTTGCGAACTAGATACGGTGCCCAGAACGATCCCCGAACCCCCATTGAGCAAGGGGGGGCTTTCGTTTCAAACGCCTTGTTGAGATTCAGCTCGTGTCCATGCTCTTTTGTTCCCTACCTAGGCTCTGCCTAGAAGGGTTCTTGCTCGGTTAGCTTAAAGGGCCAGGCAGTGGAAAACGCCCCGGGCGGTTCCCCTGGCATCCGCCCCGCGGTCCCACAGCTGCGCCCCCTTAGCTTAGCTTTGCTTATCTCATCTTAGCTTAGCCTAGCTTAATTTAGCTTAGCTTAGCTCACCTTAGCGCAGCATTAGCATAACATAGCATATCATAGCGCAGCATAACATAGCATAGCATATCATAGCATAGCGCAGCATAACATAGCATAGCATAGCTGAGTGCAGCATAGCATAGCGCAGCACAGCGCAACATATCATGTCATATCATCCCATAACATAGCAGGTGTAGGTGTAGATGTGGATGTATGGGTAGATGTAGATGTATATGTATATGTAGATGTAGATGTACATGTAGGTGTAGATGTAGGTATAGATGTACATGTAGATGTGAGTTTCGCTGTTGATGTTCATGTAAATGTGGGTGCAGGTGTAAATGTTAATGTAGCTGTCGGTGCAAATGTAGATGTTGCTTTCCTAGATGCTCCAACTCCTAGGTCGGGTCGCACTGGGATAATTGTTTGGAATCAGATATTACGTAGCACCCCGCAATTTCGGATAAGAGTGAGGGGGCGGGCGCGGGCGACGCGGGCGTCGTCGAGCCGGCGGACCTCGTGGCCCCCACCTTCCCTGTCGATGGCGCTCTCCTCCTCCTCCTCCTCCTCCTCCTCCTCCTCCTCCTCGTCCTCGTCCTCATCGTCATCGTCATCCTCCTCCTCCACCTCGTCCTCCTCCTCCTCCTCCTCCTCGTCCTCCCTCTCCCCCCCTCGTCCTTTCATCATCGTCCTCCCATTGTCGTCCTCCCCTCATCGGCCTCCATCATCGCCCTCCCATTGTCGTCCATCATCATCCTCCTCCCGGGGGGCCTCCTGGGCCGATTCCGACGCCCGGGCTGGCGCCCGAGCCAGCGCCCGGGCCAGACGCCCGAGCCGGCGCCCGGGCCGGCGCCTGGGCCGGGTCCGGAGCCGGTTCCGGCCGGCGCCGGAAAATCGAGTTCCGAGGCGGCGCCGAAAAAAGGCCATTCCAATACACATGTTTCTTTTGAAAATGCTGAAGTTCTGCTTCTGGCGCCCGGGAAGCCTCCCGGGCCGATTCTGGCGTGCTTCCGCTCGTTCCGAATCGTGCTCCCGCTGCAGCGCTGGCCTCATTTCCGCGCTTCCGCTCGTTTCGACTCGTGCTCCCGCTGCAGCGCTGGCGTCATGTCCCGTGCCATGCCACGGCATGCAATGCAATGCTAGGTTGATACTGCGCTTCGCGGTGCTCGTCTACGCCATGCCACGCCGTGCTCTACAATGCATCGCGTACCCTTTCGGGATCATTGCCCTGCTCGACATCCGACTGTGCGAGTAGAGAGGGGATCTGCGCCATTGTAAGGGATGGGAGGGAGGGGTAGGATGTCAAATATGACGCGAACGCACCTAGTTTGTCCTCCTCCTCCCCCTCCCCCTCCTCGTCCTCCTTTTCCCCCTCCTCGTCCTCCTCCTCCCCCTCCTCCCCCTCCTCCCCCTCCTCGTCCTCCTGCTCCTCCTCCTTTTTTCTCCACATTATCATTACATCCTCTCTTTTTCCGCGTCCTCCTCGTCCCCTGTTTACCCCTCCTGCCTCCCCCTCCTTCCCCAAGATAACAGCAGCGCAATCGTTTTTTCCACTTTATGCTCCCCGACTTTTCTGATCAAAGCAACTCGCCAGGGCAAGCTTGCTGGACGGGCTGGTGTGGATGCGCGGGGTTTGAAGAGGTCCTTGCGGGCTCAGACGGCACGCAAAAATGTTTGTTCAGTGTACGTAGTTTGGGTCGCGGGTGGGTCGCGGGCTCTCCACCTCCACCTGGAAGGAATACAAAAGCAGCCCGCTGCAGGCGCCAAAAAATTTGGTTTGTACCCTGAACGTGGTTTGGGTCGCGGGTTGGTCGCGGGTTTTCCACCGGGAACGAATGCAAAAAATGCCCGCCGCAGGCGCCGAAAAATTTGGTTTGTACCCTGAACGTGGTCGCGGATGGGCCGCGTGCTCTCCACTTGAAACGACTGCAAAAGATGCCCGCCGCAGGCGCTGAAAAATGTGGTTTGTACCCTGAACGTGGTTTGGGTCGCGGGCTGGTCGCAAGTTGGTCACGGGGTGGGTCGCGGGCTCTACACCTGGAAGGAATGCAAAAAAAAACCGCCGCAGGCGCCGAAAATGGTGGTTTGTACCTTGAACGTGGTTTGGGTCGAAGGTGGGTCGCGGGTGGGTCGCGGGGTGGGTCGCGGGTGGGTCGCGGGTGGGTCGCGGGTGGGTCGCGGGTGGGTCGCGGGTGGGTCGCGGGGTGGGCCGCGGGCGGGTCGCGGGGTGGGTCGCGGGGTGGGTCGCGGGTGGGTCGCGGGGTGGGTCGCGGGGTGGGTCGCGGGGTGGGTCGCGGGTGGGTCGCGGGTGGGTCGCGGGTGGGTCGCGGGTGGGTCGCGGGGTGGGTCGCGGGTGGGTCGCGGGCGGGTTGCGGGTGGGACGACGACAACAAACAACAACAACAACAACAACAACAACAACAACAACAACAACAACAACAACAACAACAACAACAGCAGCAGCAACAACAACAACAACAACAACAACAACAACAACACCAACACCAACACCAACACCAACAACAACAACAACAACAACAACAACAACACGAATCCGCACCGCGGAATTCCACTTCAGCCACGCACCCAGGGACAGTGAATGACCGTTCGGCCCCCTCACTCTGACACTACTAGTAATAATGACCGAACTGCAAGAGGCCAGGAAATCCGGAACAGCATTCCCGCCGGAGCCGTTGACCGTGGGAATGCAGAACCTCCGCTGCAGGAGCCTGTCATCATTAGCTTCAGGCTCAGGACCCGCGCCCCCAGACGCGGCGGCGCGAGTGGAACGTTTGATATGGTCAGCCGGGGGGCGGCCCAAGCTAGAGCTTCTCGCGCGAGCGGCCGCGGCTCGGCAAGTGGCGCTGCCACCCTGGAGGATCAGAAGCGATGGGATCACGCTGCGTCGCGGCCCCTACTCCTGCCTCAGCGCCTGCTCCCTGGGCTGCAGCCTGGGCGACATCGCCCGCTCCGCCATCCGGCGGCGGCGGCAGCGCGGATGCGTCAGCTGCCGTTGGCGCACCTCCTCCTCCCTCGGGCGCCGCTGGTTCCACTGGACGGGCCACGGCTGCTCTTGCTGCTGCTCCTGGCCCTGGCTGGACTGCTGGGGCTGGTTTGGTTGTCCACTGCTCTCCGCTCCCATTGCTCCGGCCGCGACGACTGGCGCTGCCTGATTAGCTGTCAGGGCTACTGCCAACGCCTGAAATGCCATCATTAGGTTCTGGTCGCCAACCGTGGCCTCTCCCATCGCCCCGAGCACCGTCTCCAGGCCAAAGAGGTTGGCCGCGGCTGCTTGTCGGGAGAGCGGGGGCTGCTGCTGCTGCATCAACTCGGACTGCTCTGCTTGTAAGGACTGGACCTCAGCTCCGGCTGCGGCAACCGCCTCCTCCCCCTCTGCAGTGACCTTCTTTTCTAACTATGAAGCTGTCGTGCGCGCTACATCTAACTGCTCACGGAGGTCTGCAGCGCCTTTCTCCGTGGACTCGATGTGCTTCCTCTTGCCTTTCAGACGATGGGTGTTGGCATGGATCAATTAGGACGGTGTCTTCTGGGTGTCCCTCTGGGGTGCGCATCTCGGTCAACACGGCTTTGAGCAGGTCGAGGAGCTGCTTCTGCATCTCAGCGGGAAAGCTCAGCTTGGCCATCAAATCCACTGCCGACTGAATCGTCTGAATGGTGGGGGCGGCCTAGCTGTTGACCAGCTGTCGCGCCCTCTAGTTTACTCTGAGACCCCTTTCCCCCGTTGGGCGGAGGAGCCCCTGTCTGGTCTTTCCATACGGGCTTCGGCGAGGACGTGTTCACGGTGCTCGCACGGGGTGGCTGCCAATGACCACCACACTGACAGCAGCACTCCAAGTTCAGGGGTACTTGTGCACTGCATGCCTTACAACTCCATGCATGGGCAACGGGAGTCTTCTGCTTCGCCGGAACCTTACTGCTACCTTTCTTTCCTTATTCCATGCCGCCTGTTCCCATCGTGCTACTGCTGTGGTGCGATGCGAGAAGAGCACGAGCGTCAGACACACAAGGAAAACTCTAATTAGTCCTCTCTTGGCACGAAATCGCCGATGCCAGGCTGGTTCCGCACCGTGACGACGATATGCACACACCACAAGGACGCGGCCGTCGAGCGCCATTGCGCCCCTCCCGACGCGCGTGGGCACCGGTCCTGTAGATAGGACAGTGAGGACAGTGCCGAGAGCGCGCAGGTGAATCACGAACACGCCTCGAAAAAGAAAACGAGAGAGGGCCCTCATCCAACAAGGGGCGCTCTCCGCGCCGTGCGCGGGGCAGGGGAGCAACGGTGCGAGGGTCACTAACGGCGCAACGCCGGGCAGTCCCCACTCGCACCGCGCCCCCCGCCCGCACCCGCCCACTATTCAGGTGCCTCGGGCTCGGGCGCCTGCTGAGCATCGCAGGCACCCCGAGCTCCGAGAAAACAAGCGGCTCGAGGGGCTCGCCCGCCTTGGGATGCAGGCCCCTTCGAGCCAGCTCGAGCATCGACGCGATGGAGGCCAAGACAGCCCGCTGCACTTAAGGGGCCCTTAAGTGCAGCGGATCTGCTCCTTCCGTGCGCGGGGCTGGGGAGCAACGGTGCGAGGGTCACTAACGGCGCAACGCCGGGCAGTCCCCACTCGCACCGCGCCCCCCGCCAGCACTTCCGCCCACTAGTCAGGTGCCTCGGGCTCGGGCGCCTGCTGCGGCATCGCAGGCACCCCGAGCTCCGAGAAGACGAGCGGCTCGAGGGGCTCGCCCGTCTTGGGATGCAGGCCCCTTCGAGCCAGCTCGAGCATCGACGCGATAGCTCCGTCCCCCCCACTCCCAGCTCCCGCCGACCCCGTCCCAGCCCTCTTGCACGCTCGAGACAGGCCGACCGACAGCCGATTGGGGCGCACAGCGTGCGCCCCGCACTTAACACAGATCAAAACTCGATCCAAGGCCTGGACCTGGTGTCCTGGCCCGACCTCCTGGGGGTCGCAAGCACGGGAGGCCAGAGACTTCAACGACGAGGCCGTCGCTGCAAGCCTCCAGCAGGCTCGACATCGAATAGCTCCCCCAGCGAAGACCACAAAGTCGTGATCGGTCGGCCGCCGCGGACGGCGGGGCCGAAAGACAGCCTTCGGAGGCGCACGGAGTATCGGGGTGGAGAGGCGGGCCACGCGCTCGGCAGCCCAGGCCAGACAACGCATCGTGTCCTGGGCCCGAAGCAGAGAAAATTTGTGAGCCTTGACCACGGAGGTGGATCCAAGGAAATCAGCCGCTGCCACGCGGGCGAAAACATCAGCCCACATATTACCGAAAAAATGCTCCAGGGGCTCCTGGGAGGCCAGGCAGGCCTCAAACCCCTCGAGGACGGTCCGATGGGCCTTCGTCCAAACAAACACGGGCCTGACAGGGTCGCCTCTATACAGCTCGTGGATGCTCCGCCAGATGGACGCGTGAGGCGCTCTGGCAGAAGCATGACGACCCTCCCAGGCCATTCCCTCGACCTGCAGCTGTAAATGATCAGTCACGTACGTGGCTGGCCTCTGGGCCCTCTGCAGGGCCTTGAGACCAGCAACGCGCTCGGCCCTGGGCACCGTCTGGATAGGGCCCCCCAGGCTCCCGAACAAAGCTTTGTATGGCCACAGGTCTCGGGTCAATGCTACGACGGCCCAGCCACAGCGCCGTTCCTCAGGGAAATCACTTTCAAGACAGGACCCGTCCCCGTACAACTTCGACGGCCACGGCATGTCGATCGCCCCCCACTCGCGCTCAGCCTGAGCACGTGCAGGCAGCGGCCTGAAAGCAGGCCTCAGGGGCAGCGCGTAGAGCACGTCGACGGCCGAGAAGTCCTGCACCTGGCCCCCGTCGCGCCACGGGGCTGCCTCCAGGATGTCCTTCCTCCTCTTGGCCACCTCCTCGGGGTACGGCTCCGTCTCCTCGTCCTCCTGCTGCTGATGCAATACCGTGCAGCCGAAGATCTCATGCTCGAGGTCGCAGCAGGCCTCCCCGCAGAACTCGCACGAACCGTCGCCGCCGTAGCCAGCCTGCATGCGGCGCTGCGGCGACCAGAACCCGTTGGACTGCAGCTTGGCCAGAGCCCCTCTGTGGCCAGGCGCCAAGGAGGCGTGTCCCAGTCGAAGCGCACGAAGCCACACATGCTGCTGCCGCCTGCCGTCACCATCGGCTGGGGGCGCCTCAGGCAGCTGGTCGAGGATACGATGGCTCTGCCAACGGTCGAGGCTGCGACGCAGGAAAAACAGCACCTCACTGGGACAATACTGCAGCAAACTGATATGCAGGCCCTCATCGTCAACCAAGATTGTAGAACTTGCCATGTTCCAGTTGACTCTCCTGAGGGACAACCACAAGGCCGAAAGCGGGCCCTGCGCACTGGCCCACGTGACGTGAGTGTGGCGGGCTTCCCAGGAGTCACGCAAGCCCATCCAGGCCCGCTGCAGTCGGGAGAGCGTCACACGCCCATCCCACACCCACGCCGCGTACTGCCCCACGATGCTGAAGGTAGCGTGGAATATGGGGTCGAAGCTCCACTGCTGCGCGGCCAGGTACAGCGTCAGGGAGCCCGACCCTTTGTAGCCACAGAAGACGCCAGCCATGGTCCTCATCTGCTGCAGCTCCGTGTCGCTGATGCCGCTGACCGTGGCTCCGTGCCCCACGGATGGCAGCACACCCGTGGCCCAGAGCCGAGCCGCCCGCTGTCGTCCTGCTCCCTTCTGCAGTGCTCGAACGCTGGCCTTCTTTCCGTGCATGGCCTTCAGGCGTCCCTTCTGCACGGCCCTTGTGGCCGACGACCCAGCTAGGTCGTGGCCAAGATACCGCATGTGCCTCTTGCCAGCGATCTTCAGCAGCCTGGCGTACTTCTGAAAGTGGTAGCTGGTGCGCCTGGACGTCGTAAGGTGCCCAGACTTATCCATCTGCAGCACCAGCCCGAGGGGCCGGACAGCCCTGCAGAAAGCACGAGTGGCAATGGCCATTTCTCGCACCCCGCTCGGGTCGTTGCCGACCCAGCACAGCGCGACGTCGTCCACCAAGTCCTTGGGCTGAACCTGAGGAGCGACCGACATCGTCTGGCGAATGCTGCGAGTCAACAACACCATGAGAAGCGTAGTGGCGTGGGTGCAGCCTGCCAGGATGCCCTGATACGCCCTGCGCGCCACTGAATACGAAGAATACGAGTGCACCGAGCGCAGCTGCTGGTACATCTGCACAAGCATGAACGCCATTCGCATAGGGTATCCACTGGCCCTGCACTCCAACAAAATGGCATCATGCCTGACCAGCTCGTAGCATTTGAGCATGTCCAGCAGCACAATGATGGCGTCGTCATCGCACAGGGTCGCCATCTCCTTGGTGAGCGCCAAATCAAAGGCCGCATCACTCGACGACTTGCCTCCAGTGTGGCCCCAGACCTCTGGTAGCGCATGGGCCTTCTCCCACGCTGCCGAGACAGGCCGCCTCGCCCGTCCCCAGATCCTGACCAGCGTGTTCATCAGCACAATCAGGCGCTCCCCACCCCCTGGCTTGGGGAGTCTCACGAGCTTCGAGAGGAATCTGCCGTCTGGCCACAGCAGGAGGTGCTCGCACCGCTCGAAGAGGCGCGCCATAGCCGTCAGCGCCCCGTGGGAGAGGTGCTCCATGGCCCTGGGCGCGATGTTGATCTGCCCGACGCCTGTCTGCCAAGAGAAACAACGGATTGCCTTGAGTACGTCGGCCGCCTCAAGCCTTGGCAGCTGCTCCCAAGTGTCAGCATCAACAGGTCGGCGAGCCAGCTCACCGCCATGCCGCACCCAGAAGCTTTCCCAATACTCAAGCTTACGATCAGCCAGTACGTACCCATGTTGTAGCCCATTGCCTCCGTCCACGATCTCCTGGAGAGCCTTGGGCTTCATGAATCGGTGAGCTCCCTTGGCTCCAGCCGCAAAAGCTGCCTGCGCCCACTGCCTCCAGCTCTGCATCACGGCCTTCTCATGCTTGGCCTCAGCATCGGAGGAGATACTCAGGATGCGGTCGACCTGCTGCTCGAAGTCTGCCTGCGCTAAGGCAAGTATGCCACGCGAGAAGAAGCCGACGGCTTCGGCGTCCAGGTGCGGCCAGACTCCCTTCCTCCGCCAGATTCTCTGGAAGAAATTCTCGCACTCCAGCAGGTGGCGCGCCGCCTTGGAGTGCACGGCGTCCCACGATAGGTCCTCGCCTGCCCGTCGCGGGGGCTGGTGTCGCTGAGCTCTCGACCGAGGCGGACCACCATCGGAGGAGAGACCAGCCACTCCGACGACCTCCGCAGCAGGGGGTGCCCCATCGCCCAGGCCAGGCACACCGTCGACGTGCGCCTCGCCGACGCTGCCGAGCTCGAAGACCTGCTGCGGGCGTAGCTGGAGCACGAAGCTCTGCAAGGCCACTCGAACCCTCCTGAGGTGACGAGCCCAGCGCGCAGCCTGCGCCCAGGCCTGGGTATCCGCCGACCTCCTGCTCCAGGCACCTTTCACGACAGGGTGAAAACTCGCCAGCTCGAAGGTCGGGGGGCCTGGCACCGTGGAGTACCCCGCCACGTCCTTCACGACGTCGTAGCGGCCCCGCAGCTCGAACTCGATGCCGCTGAGCACGACGTCCCAGGCCCTGGTGATGCCCTCGCTGTCCGACGCGCTCTGGATGATCGCCAAGGCCGGGTCCCAGTCGGGGGGGAACCTCGCGCACCCCGCCGCAGGCGGCCTCCGAAAGCCGCGTGGCTCGACAAGCCTCCTGACCTTCGCGTCAAAAGCCGTGGCGGAGAGCTCCATGGTCACTGGTAGATGCGGCCACGTCTCCGCGTCGACGACCACTGGTTGCCGAACACGAGGCAGCAAACGGCAAGAAACCATGAACATGTCAATGGTGCGGCCAGGAAGGCTCTGAAGACAAGTCGGCTCTCTCGGCGCCAGCACCACGCCATTGGCCGACTGGAGCCAGGACAACGGGCCGAGCTCGCCTACCTCCATGTTGAAGTCGCCTCCTACGATCCACGGAACACCCATGGCCTCCAGCGACCTGACATACTGGTACAGCTTGTACAGCATGGCCAGGTTCTCGGGCGACAGCTTGACGTCCACAATGAAATAGCACGACAGCATGACGAAGCCGCCCTTCACCCCAGCGTGGACGTGGGCCGCCATCATCCTGCCTTCCTGCAGCACGTGACTGTCCAGGCCTGGGGGTTTGGTGATGACCACCCGCAGCGGGGCCAGCACCGCAACCCCGCCTCTGCTGCCAACTCCCTGCCCAGGTAGGGCGGGCTCCAGATGGGACGGCGGAGATCGGTCGAGCGGCGGGCGCCGACCTGACCCCGATCGCGATCTGATGATGGGCGGCGACCGCAAGAGGCCAAATTGGCGACCCTTTTTCCTCCTCATCTTCCCCACCTCCTTCTCTTTTCTCTCCTCATCTCTCTCTTAACCGCGTGCCGGCGAGAATAATCCCGCAGAGATAAAAAAACTTCCGGGTCCAAGAAGGATACTTCCCGATATCGATGTTCAGATGTCTGGATCGGTGTTCAAGAACCTCCATGATGAAGACTCCATGATCCGTCGTGAGGGCCTGCCTGAAGCATCCTCGCAAAACAAACACGTTTGCGACAGTGTTTTTTCAAAAACAAGCGCGTTGCTTGAGACACCCTTGAAAATTTGATGGTCGCGAACTCGACGAATCTTCGAAAACGGACGATTCGCTTAAGCCCTCACAAACAAGCTGAGAAGGATTATACGTGGTGCTATACATGATATGAGGATCATAGCTACAATGCGAACTTTGGGGGATACACATTTCGCCCCCCGCCTGTCGTGGCAATTTGAACCATGTGGATCTCAGGGATAACCATATATTCAAGTGGGGGTATTACTGTCGACATGCGGTTACCCTCCTGGGCTACCGCTCTGGCGCCTCCCTGCTCAGCGCGGCGGCCGTCTCCGCTGCGGAGGTACTCAGCGAGGCCAACACCTTCGCAGAGCGCGCGTCTCGTCGACGGTGTCGTCGTCATCTTCCCTCCTCCTGCTCCTTCCTTCCATGAGTTGCCTTCCTGCTCCTCCTGCTCCCCCCCCTGTTCCTCCTCTCCCCGTCCCCCCTCATTCTACTCCTTCGCCCTTTTCCGTTCACTCTCCCCGTACGCCTCTTGCCTCCTCCTCTTGCCTTCTCCTCCTCTTGCCTCCTGCCCCACCTTCTCGCCTCCTCCAATTGCTCCTCCTTCCCACCCGAGGGGGGGGGAGGCCAGAATGAGGAGGACAGAGCGCCGGACGAGAAGAATGAGTCGAATGCTAAAGCTGAGGGTGAGTGGATGGCGATGAGGCGGAGGACGAGTATGGAACACGTCCCTCCCCTGCCGACACGACGTTGTTCGAGGATGTCTGCACGTTCGGCTCTGGGGTTCGTTTGCAAATGACGCGCTTCGCTACTGAAACATCGGCCAATTAATGTGAAGTGGTGCTGGTACAACAGGGCGCGGATGTACAAAAAGGACAACACAAATCGTGCCCCCCTGCCTTCCTCTCCAGAACATGTCCCTCCCTTCCGTTCCCCTCCGATTCCCTCCTCCCTTCCCTCCCTCGCTCTCATCTTTTACTTTCCTTGCCTCATTTGTGTCTTCCCTGAAATGGGACTAGAGCGCGCCGTGCACGTCCTTCATGTAGCTGGGGCCAAGGCTTACTCACGTTGTACATGCTAGGTCCCTCATACGTCATGCAACTCCTGGCTTGAGCGTTCCGGTGGTTCTCCTTACTGCTCCCAATATGGCTCTGGGGCCCGAATAGTGCCCCGATGGAGTCCCGATCGTATCCCTGCAATTGTTCCGAATCAGATTCCCGTAGCGTTCCAATATGCGGTTGTGTTCCGCACAATGCTCCGATTGTTTTTTTTGCGAATCGTGTTCCATCCCCGCGTGACTTCTCCAGCAGCCTCGGGAACGTGACCGGGAGTCCACACGTCCCGCGCGCCCCCGAAAATGGCCCCACCGTAAGGGACTGTCCTGAAGCTCTCTGGGTGCCTGCGGGGCCGTCTTCCATACCCTTAGGGGCTGGCCCAACAGGCCAAACTCATCGCCTCGAGCATCTCAAGTGTGTTCGCGTTCTCACCTTTTCCGTATGGCGAACGTCCAAGGCGGCCCAGACGAGGCCCCCTAAACCCACCCAAAAGGGCCCCCGAGACCCCGAAGTGGGACCCAAGAGGTCAAACTCGAAGTACTATGACGAGCCCTGCACCCCGAATTGGCCCTCGAGGTAGCAGCAGGCCGCCAGGAGGTCCCCAAGGGCCCCAGAGACCCCCAACAGGAGGCTCCCAAGGGGCTCCCAGAAGGACTCCATGAGGGCCCCAAGCGCCCTCCCAAGGCGAATGGTCCACGATCCCGGCGGTGGCGGATGACGGGAAGCGTCTTCGACGGGTCGGTGTCTAATGTTTCTTGCCACGTGGGACAATGTGCTCGCCGCGGTGGTGCCCCAGCACGGGCGTTTTGCTCGAGTTCTTTGCAGATGGCTTCTACTCTTGTTCCCTTTCATTGTACCTGCTACACGGCGCCGGACCATTTCACTATCGAAATCGACACTATATCGGGAGGCACGCATCGCGTTCACAAAGTGGCACATATGGGACACTTACTCGTCTCGGTGGCGCGGCTTCAACTCGGTCAACCTGTGCTGGTTCGCGGAGGACTACGGCTCACAGTTCAGTGATCTCAAGGCGCGCGCGAACGGACAATTGACTCCGTGGGCTACGGCGACCCGCAATGTCCCGCGCTCCAGCTGCGCCAAATGATGCACCGAGCATCATTTTGTTCAGTTCTATGTTTTTTTCCAACGCCTGTGCTTGTCTTCTCTGTCTCAATGCCTAGGCCCGCTGCTTGGTGACTTTGGGTTTGGCTCGGCCTGCAGCCGCAGACAGGTGGTCGATCTGACTGTCTGCCGCTTCTCCGCATCCCACGTCGAGCGTTGCCGACTTCGCATGTGCTGGCAAGGGCGGCTCTTGTGGCACTGTACTATGCTTATCCTGCACGCTGCGCGCTGCACTGTTTGAACCCACGGCCTGTCACCATCGCTCGGCCAGAGGGCCGTGTTCTGTCGCGCGGGGCTTCCACCAGTGGGTGGTAGCCTCGTATGTGACGTCTGCGGATGCGCATGCGCGCTGGTCGGTCCTGTGGCTGGCTATGCCGGAGCTCGCGAGACCTGTCAGAGTGGGGTTGCGTCTTCAAAAACAGAAAGAAGCGTCTTCGAAGTGCCCGAAGCGGGCTGGGCGTTCTGGCTGAATCTGCATCATATCGAATGAAGTCATTACTGTTCGAGGGTGGCGGGTCGCACGGGGTTGAGGGCTAGCAGATGACGGGAAGCGCGCGTAGACTCGAAGAATCACGCGATGGACGTTGGTTTCGGCCCGGAGGGAAGTACTATCAAAAGGGGGAGTCTGATGGGGGGAAAGGCTCGGGATCACTCTCTGATCAGACCCTGGCGGATGACGGGAAGCGCGCTTAGAAGGCCCTGGCTCGAGCGATTCTGGCGTCGTCTCTCGCGTCTGCGGGGTCGCAGGCCCCCGCGCGGCATGATCATCAGTCGATGGCGGGACTTGTCATGTTTCGTTTCTCTCCTGCGCGCCACCGCTAGCCCAAGTTCGCGACGCTGGAGGCCCGAGCGTTCGGCGGCGGCACAACCACCGTGGAGCTCCGCGTCGCAGGATGACTACTATGACGGAAGCGAGCCAGTGCACAACATATGGAGCTATCACCGCCCCCACCGTGCTATGCTCGCGAGAGGGCGGGTGCGGCCTGAGGTCGACCTGCGTGAAGGCCAAGACGTCGCGGCAAGCTCAAGCTATGTGGTCACCTCAGACGGCGACACAACTTACTCGCCTGAAGCTCGGATCTGGGATCGCCCCGACTACATCATCACGCCTTCCCCACGGCTAGAGTCCACACGAATTGCTTCACGGGGCGGTTTCACAGTTACACGACGGCGGCAGCTGGGACAACTGGTGGGCATACGTATGCAACGCAAGCCACACATCGACTTCTACGCCCTCTGCGGGTACGCCCCCGCCGACAAGCCCCAAGCGCGACCTATCGCGGCGGCTGCCCACGCAGTATGCCGACGCGACACGGATGAGTTCTTCGACAATGCGAATCAAACCTTGGGCTGTATTCCCTCTCGATGTGCACCGTCACTAATCGAAGTGGGACATGCCAGCTCGCGGAGCAAGCACCAACCACAGTGGGCCGACAAAGGGCGGCGCGTGCGTGGCATCCTCTCTCAGCATTGCACGCGAGCTCTCAACGCCTTTGGACCAGCAGCAGGGCGCGGCACTACATGGAGACACCCCGATGGCCAAGGTGAGACAAGGACCGACCACATCGCTACCCCGCGCAACACGGGGCCCCAGGATAGCGCAAGGGTCATCCGTGAGACCCCGCTGGCCCTGGGCCCCTCTCGGGACCGCATGGTCGTCGGGGCTTCTGTACATGTGGGCCGACACTTCACTGAGCGACCCCTCAAGACACCGACGGCGACGTGGCACCGAACACGCATGCTGAGCTCTCTGGAGGCTTGGCAGCGCTGGTCCACGGCAGAGGCGGAGGCCCCAGGCAGCGGCGGCCCAGTGACCACCGCCATCAGCGACGCCCTGCGCTTCCAGGACCGAGTGCACCACGCCGTCGCCTCCATGGATCACCTACTGTACAGTTGGTGCTTGGCGCCTATGACGCCGCCGTAAAGGAGACCGTGGCCGAGAACACCTTGCTGCAGGTCCCTGAACCCGAGAGCAAGGCCAAGATGAAGCTGAGCATGGGCCGCGCGGTGGAGTCCGACGACTCCGAGGGCAAGACCGCCGCGGCGGCGGCCGCGGAGGCGGACGAGGCATACAAGGGGCACCCACAAAGCAAACGCCCCGACGCCCTGTTCCGATCCGTTCTGCACCACCTCCAGCTGGCACCTCGAGAGCGCGGAACCGCCCAGGAGGAGGACGTGACCGAGAGCGACCAGCGGCAAGTCCTGATGGCCTCGAAGGCGGCGCCCGCTGCCAGCGCGAAGGCCCCTCAGAGGAATTCGTTCCAGACCGGAGCGACTGACCGTCACCGCGTGCTGATCGCATCCATCCCGCAACCCTGCGGGGCGTTGAAGAGACAGGAGCTTGCGGGACTTATGATCGACGACGACCATGCTCCTCGCGCCGCGCCGTGAGCTCAAGGAAATGAAGTAGTAGACTGGGATGCCGGGTTTACTTCAGGTGAGTCCACCAGGTTGCATGCAACAGTGCTCACTTCTTCAGTAAAGCCTGCTGCAGGCGCCCAGTTTAGTGCGGTGTTACTTTTTCTCCCCCCCGACGCTTGTGCCTCCTTGTAAGCCCTCCTTCCTTCTTGGCCCGCTGCGCTGGTGACTTTGAGTTTGGCTCGGCCCGCGACCCGCAGCCCTGCCCTTGTGCAGCCTGGAGCGTTACCGACTTCGCATTGCTGGCAAGGGCGGCTCCCGCCATGCTGCGCGATGCGTCTCCTGCACACGATGCGTTGCGCCATTTGAAAATCATTGCTCGCCGCCAGCCCGTGGCCAGAGGGTCGCGTGCTGATGTGCGGGCTTCCCACCAATGGGTGGTAAGCTTCGTGTGTTGCGCCCGTGGACGCGCGCGCGCGGGCCGACCTTTCGGTTGGCTTTGCGAGCGTTGGGGTTGCGTCTTCAAAAAAGCGCGCTTCGACTCGAAGAGTCGCGCGGTGGACGTCGGTTCCGGCCCGGAGGGGAACGTCATCAACTGGGCGGGGTCTGGGGGAAGGGCTCGGAGCACCTCCGTGGTCAGACCCTGGCGGATGACGGGAAGCGCGCGTAGACTCGAAGAGTCGCACGATGGACGCCGGTTCCGGCCCGGAGGGAAATATTATCAACTGGGAAGAGTCTGAAGGGGGAAGGGCTCGGGGTATTTCCTTTATCCAAACCTAGCGGATTTTGAACAACTAGCTTTTCGCCTGAGACACCCGCGCC